AATCCATGTAAGGAGTTCCTTGCTCTCAAAACAGTTTAGGCCTATTACGTGTCTTTCACTAAAGGCTGTTCAGAAAATAATAAAGTTAGGTACTTCAGCTTCAAGTATCAATAGAATATCTGACTCTTAAGAAAGCCATGCAAGGCAAGTTTTTTTGTATAGCACAGTTCATACGCAAGGCAACTCAAAGTGCTGCACAAAACAAGATAGAAACAATAGCACAAAGCATTCAAATCATAAAACAATCACAGTACTTTAAAACGATTGAAGTAAAAAGTGGTTCTAGTAGAATCAGAATCAGAATCATTTTTATTGCCACGTAAGTAACAGGAGGTCACAGACTAGGAAATTGCTTTGGCTCAGTGCAACAGTCAAAAAGAGATAATAAAAATAAGAATAAAAAACACTTCTAAAGAATAAATTTAAATTTAAAATAGAGTTACAGTTACTATTTACAATATACAAGTGCACATGGTGCACACAATGTAAGGTGACAGCAGTACAGTGAAGTAAAGTGACGTATGATGGGCTCGAGTTCCAGCGTTTTGAATATACTGAAGCTGTTTTACAACTTGTTTGGAGAGACCAGAGAGCAGGCCACTACAGTAGCCTTCTGGAGACAAAAGCATGCATTTAGACACATATTTTTGATCCTGGCATTGTTTTTTAGGTGGTAAAAAGGCGCTGGTGTTACTGATTAGATGTGGCTATTAAAATGTAAGTCTGAGTCCAGTATTACTCCTACATTTCTGTCCTGATATGAAGGTTTTAGGAAGAGAGACTGGAGGTGACGCTTTCTCTTTGTTTCTGGGGACCAAAGGCAATCATTTCAGTTTTCTCTGTGTTTAGGTGAAAGAAGTTGTATTGCAAGAAAACATTTTGTCTGGATGAATCAGCAAACACAGTTGGATGCTGCACTTTCTCCTTGACGTCATAGTCCATGTATTCATCATTGCAGGATTCTTCTATAGTGGGATTAGTTTGTCTAAATCTGTCACGTGAATAAACCCAACTAGAGTCATTTTTTCATTGGGGAACAAGGTTATATCATGTTTTATTTTTTTGCACTCAACTATTTTGGAACTTGAGTAAAGCAAAACTCAATCGGTGCCTTGTATTGTTGTGTCACTAACTTTATAATAAAATAGCTTTTCAGATATTTTTTTCTGTCCATGTCCCAACCAAAATGCTACACCTAAATTATCCAGTATAATCTGACTGTTAATGCTAGTGGCGAGAATCAATATTAAAACTCATCTGCAGAAAAAGTTAGCACTGAGCCTGTGGCAGTCGCGGGGTTAACCAATTTACTGCTTAAGTGTGAAAGAAGGAATGATTTATCCTGCTTTCATAAGACTGTTGTAACATCTCTGTTGTGTGGCTGTGTGTGTAGTATCAGCAGTGACTCTCTCGAAGATGTATTATTAATGGACCTAAACAGTATGATCCAAAAGCAGTGTACCCCATAAATAAACCAGCACAGGGCCTGTCTCTCCCTCGGGAGGAGCCATTCTGTATTTAACACCATCCTGTCCCTCGAGAAGGTTATTTCACTGCAGGATGTGTAAACATGCTTTGTAGCCCGGAATTAGTCCTGGTTCAGACCCAATCCATTTCTACAATTGCACGCTTAAGGATCACCCTCCCTGTACAGGGAGGATTCAGATATTTTTCATTTAACTGCATCAGTATTATAACTTAACTTGTGTCAATATAGTCAAGCTATACCTCTTTTGAAAGCTTATTCCCACCTCTAAATGCATATTATGTTCAAATAAACATTAAATATCAACAAAAGTAAGTATTTGTAGTCAAACTGTATACATATAAAAAATATATATTGTCCTTTCTTACCTTGTCATGCTAATATTCTGGGCCAAATCACGTCTAATCCACACATGTGTGCATTAGTTTTGTCCGGGAGGGTCTAGAGAATAATTATATCCAGTTGTTTTTTCTTCAAAGTCATCCTTATAGTAGATATCCACTTGTAACGACACATTTGAGTTTTGAAAGTTGCCCGAACAAAAATAAAACCGCGTCTTTGCGCACTGTCTGAAGACGCCATTGTTTTTTTTACCCAGAATCACTGGGTATGTTCGTCTTCCCCTCAGTCTTCCCTTCAAAACAAGCCCATTCCCGGACTTTTCAGTGCTATGGTTTGGAAGGTAGAGTAAGTTGAGTAAAACAAGCGCCCCTAGCTTTAGCGCTCCAGTCATATAGATATCTGTGCGTCACGACAGCATTGTCTTGACTACCATTGGCCGATTTGGATGTCAATCAAATCATCTTGTAGCCAATAATCTCAGGTTTCAGGCGATGTGTCGGACTTCAAGGTTCCTCCCACTGTTCCCGTCATATTTGAATGCGTAAAGAGGAAGACGGAGCCTTTTTCACGGAGAACACGCGCTATAACTATATAAATAATAGCTTTTCTGCAAACATTTCAATATCTGGAAAAACGCTATTTATAGCAAGAGTAATAGTCAAAAAATTATATAAATGGATTTTTGGTGTAAAAACATTGATAATTTGCATGTAAAACACTTTGGCACAGTTGGCACAAAAATGGACCACTTGTGCCGAATGTGCCCATTAGTTACAAAAAAGCCCCCAGCATCAAAATAGTTCCACCTAAAGGTCTAAAATTTCATACAGGTGTTTCCAACACCACGGACATCTGCTCTGGTGAGTTTGAACAGCATACCATAAAGTATGTCTTCAGGAGAACCTTTTGAAATTGCCTTTTTTTTTTCGAGACAAAAAAAACTAACTTTGACTCATTTTTGAGAAGCTGTAGTGCAGACTGTGTCCTTCCTAACAAACTGTAACATACATTTTCAGAAACTACAAGGTGTTACCTTTCAAATGAGGCATCATAACACAACATCAGACACAAGATGTCCACACAATAAGCATTTCCATTTGGGTATCATAATTCGAGAAGGAGCAGGCGAAATTAGGTGATCCTTAAAGGGTTAAAGGAGACGTATCCTGCAAAATCCAGATGTTTTTGAGATTCACACCGTGTCATAACAAAGCTTCCTCATCAAAAAAAGACCTAGAGTTGTTTATAGATCCGCCCATGCTAATATCAAGAACAGGGACATGTAAATCTGCCACTTCTATCTCAAATTCTGATTCTGATTCTGATTCTGAAATCTCCCGTCTCAGTCTTGTAGAGTATGATGTCATTGTACTGCTGGAACATCACGCTCGGTTTTCTGTCTCTTTTAACACAAACAGTGCCATACATTTGTTTTGTAAATTCCTCAAGTGAATTATGTTCTTTGCAATCAAATCCTTTCAGTATGATGTAATCGTAACCTTTGACATTACATTTAGAGCTATTTTTGCCTTTTAAAATGAAAGTGCTGACTATAAATGGACATTTCTCAAATTGGACTATGTTCTGCTATCACATGGCAGTGGTTGCAGCCAGTAATTTTCACATTTAAAAAAAACAAAAACAACTAATGCACACCTCCCTCTGGTGGTAGTTTGGGAATAAGGCCGGCTGTTTTTTCACCATATATTTTTGACAAATCAAAGTCTCATTACAAAATGTTATCAGCCAAAAAAAAAGTGTTATTGTTCTTCTTTAAAGAGGTCACGCTAATCCAGTGCAATATGTTTGATATGAACAATGATATGAATGATGTCTTTCTCCTTGATTCAACCGTCCATAGTCGTGCTGTCGTCTGCCTGTTTCACTGCGCTGCATTTGTAAAAACGTGTCGGTGCTCTTGCGTTGAGCCTCGGAGACACTATCTCAGCACTATATCAGCAAAATCTTTCTACATTTCCAACAAATGCCTTGAAGTTTAGAACGGCCTCTTAATCCGTAAACAAAATACCCAAACAGAATATATGAGTTTGTTTACACCTCCAGGGACCATGAATGAGCTTCCATGCAGAGAACTTTTATTCAGCAAAACAAGTAATTTTATTCACTTTTCAAAGTAGATTAAAGAGTCCTTCACAGTTAGAAACAGTGGCAGTCGTTGAAAATATGATGTTGTATTGTGACGTTCATAGCTTGCATGAATCATCAGGTTGTTTTGAAAATTATAATACCAGATGAGAAAGTCTTTTGAATCTTCCATAGACTTACACATGCTGAGACGAGGTTTTATGACTCAGATATTTCTACAATAGCCTGGTTCGTAAACTCTGGTCAATTGTACGTCTGGGTCTGATCTTGTGGCTGTGGTTACCTTGGTTGTATCCCATCCGACCAATCAGCGAGCGGGGGAGGCGGGTATTGTAGGTAGGTGTTGGTAATGTCAAGAGTTTGCGCCATATGAAGTAATCCGGCTCCAAATGTCAAGAAATTGAAGCCAGAGTAAAAGGAATGTTTAGCAAATGTCATTGCTGCAAAGATGTTGTGGCTCTACTCCCCCCGGCCCCCGGTTAGTGGCAAAGGAGATGGCTAAAGCTAAGCTAAATGCTAAATGCTAGTGACTCACTCGGGCGTTTCAATCTGCAAAAGGAGCCTCCCACCTGTTAATGGAGCTCAATGGAGCAAATCCAGACCTTAGTATGAAATGAAATGTGTATGATGGTTTGGTAAGACCAGGCTAATTCTACAATAACTGCAGAATTAAAAATGTATTTGCAAAGTATTTGTAACTAATCATCTCTATGAACACGTTCTCCAGGAGCATCATCAACATTTAAAACATATTTTAAACAACAAAACGATTAAGTCAAGAAATAATCGTCCAACTAATTGGTTGATTAGAGCCCTACAAATTACATGCCCCCAATTAATCAGAGTTGCTTTCAGAGTGGCTCACATACTGTATGTTGAGTTATTACAATTCGTCTGCTTTCTCAAGCAAAACTAAACTAAACAATGATTGCGGTTTGTTGAGCCGTCATTTACTGTGACTTACAGTGGATGTAGAACACAGAAGTCATTCATAAGGCTAACTATGCTTCTATTCAAGGTGACAGTATTTCTTTCTTCTAACGATCCTGATGCGTGTGTTTTTCAGTTGGAGTCTGGCGTCCCTCTGCCCAGCCCCTTTGAGCTCATGGGGAAAATCCTGATCAAAAACAAGAAGAAGCACCACAAGAAGGACAGCACCAAGAAGAAGCTTTCAGAGCAGGTTTCCAACACGTGCAGCGACTCGTCCAGCGTCTGCGAGCCCTCCTCCCCCAGCGCCGGTAAGAACATGTGCCTGTTACGGTCCATCAGGGATTTGAGTCGGCTCAAAAGCAGCACCTGCAAATCTGAGGCTATGGTTTGACCTGGAGAAAGGTGCCTTGTTCTGTCCAGACGGTCGAGATGACCTCCCTCAAGTGGGAGTTAAATATCTCAGGTCTTTCAGTGAGAGAAGGAGGGAGCCTGAGATTGATAGATGGATCGGTGTTATTGGACTGTTTTGGTGAAGAAGGAGCTGAGTCAAAAGGCAAAGCTCTGGATTCAACGGTCCATCTGCATTCCCACCCTCACCTATGGTCATGAACTTTGAGTAAAGATTGAAGGATCATTTTGCAAATTATGTGTTTAATCAGCAGAGTGGAAACCCTATATTTCTCTGTAATACATTAAAAACACAGATTACTCTGCACAGACAAAGACGGTTGTGCTATTTCTTTCTTAATTCTAGAGACGGTCACTCTTAAAACATTGAGGGAGGCGCAGAGACCCAATTCCCATGGCCTCAACTCTGAGGCCAGAGTCAAAAAAGTCCTCCTTTAATTCCTCACGTACAATGTGTGCCAGGGCAGAGAATGCTTCTTATGTTCAGGAGAACACCTTTGTTGCTCCTCACTGCACTTTTGCTCCCGTCTGCGACATGGAGAAGTGGAGAGCATGCTGGCAGTGTCGAAAGGCAGTGTCTAGATTATGAATGAATTCATATTTATTAATTTTTTGAATGGCACAGTGTGCATTCATTAACAGCAGTTGTCCTATAATACTCATTTAAGCCAAACTGCGAGACTAACTCTCTAGAATAAATTGGATGTTGAGTTCCGGCGGCTCTGACAGTTCACTGAGAATCAGTGCAGCATGTTGAAGGCTGAATTAAAGCCGCTGCACCCTGCTTTTGTTTATAATTCATCATTTTCATTGCCCTCTACATCAGCCGGCCGCTTTATAGGCCGACTGTCGTCCATATAGAACACTATTCACCTGAACACTGAGCCAATCAAAACAATCTTACATAAGAGATTTAGATTGTATTGACAACATGCGTTTATCAGCTCAACTTCTGTTGGTCTTTGGTTCAAATGTGAGGCTCTTTACATTAGGCAATACTGCCCCCTGATGGAATAAAAATGAAGCACAATATGCCAGGGTTTTTGATAGTCTTTGCTAATACTTGTAATAAATAAACCAAATGTCTAATGTGTATTGTGTGTTGTTGTGTTCAGGTTCCACAAAAGAGGAGCTGCCCGACGCACAGCCGCCTGAAGGGGGCGAGCTCAGCCTCCGACCTCATGGCAGAAAATCTATCAGTGAGTCACAGCCATGAATCTGTTATAGTATGTGCAGAGTGTATTTCCAGCACAGGCTCAACGGCCCCCCACGGCACTGCAGCCTAAATTCTCATGGGGCGACACAAGACATGTGGCTATAGATCGTAATGTTACAAAAGCGGCTCGTGCTCAGCTGCAAAGAACCTTTAGTGGGGAATGTTCTTTTGCAAATCCATCGGTTTTCATCATACCCTAATTGTTGTAAGCTGATTGGTCAGAAGAAAACTTGTGGTTCTCTTGTTGCGCAAACCATCAGGTAGCACCGCTGCAGCCAGCTATATGTGGTTCTAGGGTCCTGGGTGAAAACTGCACTGTCTCTTTAGGCAGCTATATTTTAAATATATATTTTTATATTCAAGATACATTACTTACAAATTACTTAAAATTCAATTCAACTCATACTTATTGTTTAAACAAAGGAAATGCAATAGTAACACATTGGAGGTGTTGGTCTTTGGGGAGCAGGATGACCAATGTCTATACATTTTAATAAATGTCCTTTAATGTAATCATCACTGTTCTTAGACCCTCCTGCATCAAGAAGGAACAACTCACAAAAAACTAAAATACAAATACAGTGGGGTAAAAAAGTGAGAAACCCACATTGAGAGAGAGATCCTCTCCAGGACTGAGGCTGTAGCACGAGGGCTGAGGCTCCGCAGATGCATTAAAATATAGGGACAAGTGATGGAAAAATATGCTTACATTCTACAAATGTCACACATTTGACTGTAAACTGTGCCCTAACATGGTTCAATTTGGACCAATAATGATAACTTGAGACCTGGACTAGCCTGGTCGTACCACACCATAGTACAAATTACATTTCGTACTAAGGTCTGGAAGGGCTTATTGAGCTCCGTGAACAGGTGGGAGGATAACTCCTTTTGCAGATTGAAACGATTGGATCTGAGTTTACCGTGACGTATGTAATGAGCCCGAGTGAGTCGCTAGCATTTAGCTTAGCTTTAGCCATCTCCTTTGCCGCTAACGGAGCCCGTGGGGAGTAGCGCCACAATCTCTGCCAATGACATTTGCTAAACATTCCTCTTGCTCCGGCTTCCATTTCTTGATAGAACCAGACCGGATTACTTTACTATCGCATTCTTCGCTATTGCCAAACTACAACCTGCCCGTTCGACGCAAACTCTTGACATCACCCACAACTAACTACAACACCAGCCTCCCACGCACGCTGATTGGTCGGATGGAATTAAACCGATGTAATCGCAAACACAGGGACCAGACCCAGACGTTATGCAGGAAAATTATGATTGACCGGAGTGTATGGATGGCTAAGGCCAGGCTAGATCTGGACTAAAACAAGGTCTAATAATAAATAAGCAATTTAGAGTATCTTAAGAAAAGAAGTGGAGGGCTCTGGCAGGAACATAGGTTCATCACTCTGGCCTCAGTGGCAGGGACAGGTCGAGGCGGGGGCCTCATTACACGCCTTCAGCAGATATCATTTAGACAATAGAGTTTAAAGATTAATTTCCCCAACGCGCACTGAACCTGGATGTCATAACGCACATGTTATCGCAGGGACAGAGCCCAAACAAAACCCTGCCTGTGTCATTTCCGACTCCACGCTGTTTGGGAAAATGAAATGTTTGATAAAGATCCATTCATTTTCAGCGGCTTTCAAAGTCAAGGGGTTTAAAACTATACTCGTTATAATGCAGTGTTATCTTTCCAAAAAATAGCAGCTCACAATGTTCTTATTATTTGGGGACATTTGCAGACATTCAACACTTTTCGACTTGTAAAAGATATGATATTTTGTGTATTATTAGAAGTATTGTTTATATGCAAAACAAAACTATTGGCTATTGTTGCAATTTCTCATTTAAATTTTGTAAAATCAAAATACCTCTGTTTTGGTTTTGTATCAGTGTTGTTACCATGAAAATAGAATAATATAACTATAATGGTATGTAATTATTGCTGTACATACAAGGTACGTTTCATTCAGACATAACGCTTTGGACACATTGGTTTGGGGAGAAACCGGGGTGAGAGTCTTCATTCAGAAGATCCACTCAGAGAGAGAGACCCAGAGAAAAACTTTTAGTTTTTTATAGAAGTATGATACAATGGTCCGGATCTTCCATTAGACAAACAAAACTTAACCAGATAATGATGCACCACAGAAGGATAACATTATTGTGTTGGTGGGATGAGGGGAGCCAGGGTTATTATGAAAGAAAGCAACATTTCTACAATTAAATACAGAACCAACACAGAAAGACAGGGGGATTGAAATGGAGAATGTCTCAAAAAGTGTGAATGTTTTTGTTGTTTTTAGGTGATTTGAAGGATGAGTAATAGTTTTGAAATATGTTGAGAAGAACTTTGAGCTCATACCTCGGGTGGCATCACGGCTAAGGTCAGATTGGTCAGAGGGTGAGGCAGACAAGGGTGCCCCCCCTGGGAGGGGGGAGGACAGTAGATGACAGGAAATCCATACCAAGTGTATATAAAGTGTAAATAAATCAATGATGATTGTTAATCTGATTGAGCCTTTCAATAATGTAATGATAAGACCATTTACTGGTTACTATAAACCTAGAAGGGTTTAGAGTTTGAACTGGTCTGTTGGTAGATTTTTAAAACACATTTTCTTAGATCTGTATCAGATATGAATAAGCCCTTTATTATGGTATTTCATTATTATTTAAAGAAGCTGTTTAAAGAAGAATCTCTGAAAAAGTGTGTGGGGGAACAGTGTGCATGCGTGCGGGTGTTGGTGTGTGTGTGTGTGTGTGTGTGTGTGTGTCTTTTTTACTGTTGTTTTTTAGAATATTCTTGGATCTGGCATTGTGGATTTGTGTTGTTCTGAAGTGAACCTCAGTGACTGATAGATTATTGGCTCCAGCCTCATAGTTAAGGCTGCTTCATGTCATAGAATTTCACTGCTACATTTAGCACTACAAAGCCTGTTTATATGGATTGTTGTTTTATTTGAACAAAACAGAGAATAAACTCAGCAAAAAATGTAGCTGTTAAATTTACTGAAATATGTAGTCTTCACTGTTACAGCAGAAACCGGATGATTTCAAGTTTGTGTGAGAAAATGTGTGTAAATGTGTGAAAATGTGTATGTAAACCTCCGGCTTCCCCTGAACAAATGTGGATCCGCTGTGATATTTGAAGGTAAAAAAAATGTCTTGTTTCAGGTGAAGTCGAGGCTGAGAGTGAAGATGAAGACGATGACGACGATGACTGTAAAAAAGGTTCCATGGACGAGGTCAGTGGCGCGGCCTATCAGGGAGCGCCATCTCCTGTTCACTTCTGGACACTGGCTCTGGTCTGGATTCTTATGGTTTTTTTTAACAACTATTGAATCTCTCCACAGGGCACAGCCGGCAGCGAGGCCTTTGCCACAGAGGAAATGTCCAACTTGGTCATCTACATCCAGCCGGTCAAGTTCAACAGCTTTGAGGCTTCCAAAAGTACGACATGGAGACGTATAGATTCACCAGCCTGAGCAGCCACACTAACACAATTTAACAATATGTGAGAGTCTGAATCTCTGCTCCGAGGTGCCCTTTTTATGCGGGTTGTGTTTGGACGCATTTGATTGGACAGAAAAGAGGAAGTGGCTGCAGACACACAACACAATCTCTTTTAAATCACGTTTTAACCACTAATGGCTGTTTCTCACTGTATACTGTATAGCCGCTTGCCATCTTGGACCTAGAGCAAAGAGGCTGCATCCAAATGAAGCCAGAATACTTCCTTGTGCTTCAAAAGTAACTCTTAATGAGGGGAATTGCAGGCAATTGAAACTATTTGAAGATAATTTTTTTTTACTGAACCTATTCCATGCTACAAATGTAAAAAAAAAAATAGAAGGATTGACAAGGTGGGAGAAACTATTCAAGTAAAAATTGGAAACACGTAACCCGGTTCTGGTTCTGTGATTGTCATGTCATTTTCTACCCCTTTATTATTCCATTTCTGGGTTGGGGGCTTTGTGATTGGTCGGCAAATTTTCAGCTCGAGGCACTATAGGAACCAATCATATATCCATTATAGGGGAATGCAGATGTCAGACAGTTCTGCTTTCATGTGTATCAGACAGAAGAAGTTCGTGCTGTTGATTCACTGCTATTTTTCTCCATATTTGGAAACACAAGTGATCTCAAGAAACAAATTCTCACTTCAGAATTTGGACCGTGTTCTCTCTGATTATGTTTTGTTTGTGTTTTTCTTTATAGAAATCAACCGCAGTTTCCAAATGTCGTCCTTTGTGGAAACGAAAGCTCTGGAACAACTGACCAAATGTCCTGTGGAGTTTGTGGAGTATCCTTTCCCAAAGCATTTCAAAGGCAGATCAAACACATACAGTAGATTGACCTGTAAGTCTAAGTTCATTGGTTTATTTAATATTGATTAAATATGAACATCTATGGACACAATAAGAGCTGCATTATCACCTACACTGGTTTTTCTCCTCCGTGATTTGATGCCTGGAGGAACTTCCCTCCAAAATGGGAAGCATTACTTTTTTTAAAAGGCAGATTTTTTTCCTCCTTTTTTGTGCCAGAAGTTTCTTAAATGATTGTGAGTGGAACTAAAAGCAGCAGCCGAACAGAACTGCACCTTCTGTGGACTGTTTTAAGTCTCGTCTGGAGAGCCACTTCTCTGGCTTTTAACACTGCTTGTTTTTTGGTTTTTAGATAGTTTGATAGTTTGAAATACAAACACATTCTCCATTCTGAGATCAATAAAGTCTTATCTTATCTTTTTTTTAAACAAGAAACAAAGCTATTTTATATATTATATTCAATAAGTGACGTTTTCAAATTTTGTTATTTTTATTTTTTATTCATATCTGTTTTTATCAGCTTTATACTTCTTATTCTTAACATATCTGCAAACTTTGTGCAGCATGTTGGAAACTGTATTAGGAAATGTGCAATAAAAAGTAGAAAGATTCATTAGTTGAACTTAGTTAATTTTCCAAAACTCTTTCTGTTGGGACAAAAACAATATGTACGAAATAATCAAAAAAGTGAGTTACCCCAGTTTTAAGTCCTGAACCGCCCTGAGCTTCTGTAGCAGATGCTCGCAGCTAAAGTCCAGGACTAACCTGTTAAGAATGAGAGAAAAAGTTTGCAATGACTTGGTGCAGTGTGAGTTCTATGTGGCCATAAAAATAGACAATCCATCCATCCATTTTCTTCCCCTTAATCCATTTCTGGGTCGGGGGGGGCGGCAGTCAGAGCTGCACCCAGTCACAGAGCACCAGCCCCTCACTGATCCTCCTGCAGGTGGTGAGTCCACAGGAGCTGAGATCTTTCAGTGGGGGCTTCAGGCAAAGTGGGGTGTCTTGCCCAAGGACACAACGACAGCAGTCATCAGTGGGAGTCGTGAAGTAGGTTTTGAGGTGGGCTCGAACCCACGACCTTCAGGCTCAAAGGCCAATGCTCCACCAACTGAGCTACTGTCGACATATATATATAGACAATATTATACTTTAACAGCACTTTTCAGATACAACAAGTCTCAGTTGAGCAGGATCTACCCCAAAGGCACCAGAGTGGACTCCTCCAACTACAACCCACAGCTCTTCTGGAACGCCGGCTGTCAGCTCGTCGCACTCAACTTTCAGACGATAGGTAAGAGGCTATTTTCATATGGAAATGAAAATAGTAATACAAATAACACAAGTTGACAGCCAAAAAATGGTCAGGGGTTTCTCAACTGATTTAGACTAATTTTGGTGTTCTGAGTCCGAATATCACCTGCATTTTGCTCTATCAGGTCAACTTTTTGAGATACAGCCATAGTGTTACGGATTATGTACGTCTACGTTATTATGAATTCTGCTTATCAAATTTGATGGAGTAAATAAAAACAGAATGACTTTGGATACGTTGACTTTTATTTCTTGAGGAAAACGGAAAAAACTTCACGGGTTTCTCAGCTGATGATCCGCAGAAATTTGTTTTTTTTACGCAAAATCGATTTAAAAAAATATTTCTCTAGCAAAAAATCCTGACCTGATTGCGCAAAACCAAGGTCATTTTCGGACTCAGAGCATCAAAATTAGTCTAATTCAGCTGGAAAACCCTGGACTATTTTCAAAAAATATTTTTTTGTTACCCAGTGTAATATACTGTATATATAAAAGGTGGATATTGGCTGCATCCAATCCTTCATCCCCTCCAGACTAGACTACTGCAACAGGTCTCTGTGGTCTCAGCCCCTGGACCTGCTCACCCACAACTGCTCCAGAGACCACATCACCCCCATCTTGAAATAAGGATCTCTTTTCTTAAACAACTCCCCTGGCTCCCCGTCCCATACCGCATACAATATAAGGTCCTCCTCGTCACGCTTCTTCTCATTCATCAGCACTGCCCCCCCCCCCCCCCCCCCCCCAACTCCAACTACGTCGCTCCCATCAGAAGAAAGAAAGTGCCGTAACTTGGGGGAACGGGCCTTCGCTGCTCCCACTCTCTTGATCTCTCTCCCACCACACATCATGAACTCAGACTCACTTAAGAACTTCAAATCACTGCCCACCTGTCCAGAACTGTCTACACCTAACTGCTTATTTCAGCTTTTTTATCTCTGTTTCTCATTAACTTTTGAAAGCGTCTTGGAGAGTAAAAAAAAAGCACCAAATAAGTACGATGTAGCATTATTATTATGAAAGGTTAAGCATTTTCAGGTCATCTTCTGCCTTTTTTAAAGATTGCATTCACGTTTTTGTACATTTTTTTTATGCAGATCTGTCCATGCAGCTGAACCTGGGCATGTACGAATACAATGGGAAATGTGGCTTTAGACTCAAACCTGAGTTCATGAGGCGGCCAGACAAGAACTTCGATCCTTTCACTGAGAGTACCGTGGACGGGATAGTCGCCAATACTTTATCTGTCAAGGTACCAAAGCCATTCATAACACCCCGGTCCAATACATAGACAAGCCAAATAAAATGGTTCACTTTGAATGACATGTGGGATTGGATTTATTTGGTATGGATTCCCACTTGTTCCCAAAGCGGCAACTACTTCCTGGGGTCCACCAGTAATTGGCAATAACATATTCAAGAAATATAAGCACAGATATGTCACAGTTTGGAAAAAATATCAGTTTTATCCGTTGGTCCAAAATGTTCTCAACACACATAAATACATTGTTCATTGTGTCTGATATAGAATAAAGAAATGGTCATTCTGCTGTCCATTTCCAATCTCGACTGAAGGCTAAAGATACATTTCGATAAACAGCAATATTTGTGGATTAGATGCCATATTTTTGTTATAATTTTCTTCTGATTTAGATTTTTTGTGATATGGTCTTTAGTGTCATGTCTTAGGCCTGGCCTGTGCTTGTTCCTTTCAGATCATATCTGGCCAGTTTTTAACGGATAAAAAAGTGGGCACATATGTGGAGATGGACATGTTCGGGCTCCCGGTGGACACCAAGAGGAAAGCCTTCAAGACAAAGACGTCTCAGGGCAACGCCATCAACCCAGTGTGGGAGGAAGAGGCCATCGTCTTCAAGAAGGTCACACTGCACACACATACACACACTCACCGCGCACGCACTCAGACAGACACACACACACAACCGGACACGCTGTGAGGGTGGATGTACACTTGAACCAACATGCAGAATTGGACTGCTTTGATCAAGCCATGCAGCTGTGGAAGTCTTTGCTCATAAATGTCATGAATAATGAAAATAACTATAATTATTGTGTCATAGTTTACTCTAAAACACAATCATATATGAGGAAACAGCTTCACATGTACTTTTATGTGCTTTTTGGAACAAAATGAAACTTTGGAAACATACAGAATGTCCAAAATCACCCTTGAAATGTTGATCAAAAAAATTGCGATTTGATATTTTAATAAAATTGTGAAGCCTGACACTCTGTATAATTTGAGTATTCACCAGTCCACAGATTGACATGTAATACCCCTCTCCTTCCTGCAGGTGGTGTTGCCCACTCTGGCTTCTCTGAGAATAGCCGTGTTTGAAGAAGGCGGCAAATTCATTGGTCATCGGATCATTCCCGTGTCCGCCATTCGCCCGGGTATTTCATTTACATTCACAGTCTCACATTAGTGCATCCTGTAAAGGATCCAGAATGAAACAAGGAGACACATTAATCTGCAAAATCCACATTTTTGAATTAATTACTACATTTCACATTGTTGCTCATCAGTCACGGACCTGAAGTTGTTTTTGATGTTTGAAAAGCTATGTTTGAGCGTGATATTACTTTTGCTTTTCAAACTAAAATATTGCCTATTAATTAGTTTTGGTAATTTATCAAGTAAAAGTATGTTCTTTACAATCACATGGCTGTGTTTGTAGTCAGTATTTTTTCAAATGTGAACAAATAAATGAATTCAACTCCTCCCTCTGGTGGTAGCATAGGGAGTTACAGGCAGTTTTTCCCCCTCCATGCTGGTTTCTATATATAGTTTTTACTGAAGATATATATTATTTATTCTAAAACATGAATTGACAATAAATAGTCCCATTATACAATTTTTTTATGGCCAAGGCAATGCATAAAAGTCTAAAATGGTGTGGGTTGTTTTGTGTGAACTGGGCAGGTTACCGCTACATCAGTTTGAGGAATGAGAAGAACCAGTCTCTGACTCTGCCGGCTCTGTTCGTGTACGTGGAGGTGAAGGACTACGTTCCTGACACGTTTGCTGGTAAATCTGCTGCTTATTCGCTCACACATCTCTGTGGTGGGCGTGGCCTACTGTGGGGGAAAACACTGGATTAGTCAAATATAAAGATGTTTTCAGTAAATATATTGCCAATGGACAGTTTTTAAGAATGTTGGGGAAAACCTTGTTTGGGACAATCAGTTCTGATGAGTGACCTACATACAGTATTTATATAAGATTTGTTTCTGAAACTTTACAAACTGCAACATTAGAAACATTTAACAGTTTAATGTCTGATTTTGCTTCTGAGCTGACTTTGTTAAAGCACAATCCGTTTGTGTCTTCCTCTCCTTGGTTCTGTGTTGTCAGATGTTATTGAAGCTCTGTCCAACCCCATCCGCTACGTGAACCTGATGGAGCAGAGAGCCAATCAGCTCGCAGCACTGACCCTGGAGGAGGGCGGGGAGGAGGAGGGCGACAAGGATGTGAGTGACTTGTCATACATGCTTTTCTTTTCATGAATCCACACTGCAATTATTAAAGTCAAATATAGATATAGTCGAAAAAATATAATTCTCCTTTATGTAAACTTTTACTTTGTCCTAAAAGGCAGATTTTACATCTACCTAGTGTAAGTTTCAAAATGAACGACAGTCTTTTTCACTATTTTTCATGTTACAAAACTGTCCCTGCCTGAAAAACAGACTTGGAGATGGTTTTAGCTCCATCCATTCTAATATCACAAACTTCTGAAACATATACCCCAGTCCTATATTTCCAAATGCTCCTTTTCAATTGATTACACTCAGCACATACAGTATACAGTATTTAGATTGGCCATATTGGATTTAGAGCTGTCCTTTTCTACTTGATGGGGGAGGTATTCTTTCCCGTCACCTTTCACTGCCTTTTTCATTGTTATCCATATACTGTATGTTCTGAACACAAATAAAGCATTATACAGTAAATTACACATTTAAATGCAATCGTCATGACAATTCAACCATGAGAACCTTCGGCAAAATAAGTGTCAAACTTCAGCCCGAGTGCTCTTGGGCAAAATTACAGGTCATTTACTAAGTATGCCTTTCCTTTTTTTTTTTTTTTTAAACCTTACCGTAGCCCTTATTGTTATTTGGCCCTAACACCACTCAACCCAACCCAAAACATACACACACAGGTCCCTAACACTTTTTGACCATACTTGTTCAGCACTTCCTTTTTAAATAGTGCTTTAAATTGAAACAGGTTCCAATCATCTATCATGGATGACAAATTGTGTCTTCGTTGTTGCTGCTATTGACAGAAGAATAGATTAACTTCCTAACCAACCATGCACGGATCATCTGGACCCCAGAGAGGGCAGTGTAGGAGGAGCAGAGGGTGCGTGTGGACCTCAGATTAACTGAGCATGTTTTGGAGCTCAGAGATCACAGAGCTGAGGCTGCAGAAGAGGAAAGGCCATGCTCAGACTGGGACACCACAGCTATGTCTACAGGCTTTACAGCACACCTCAGGTAAAAGATCAGGTGAAGATTTCCTCTGTTCATCGGAGTCCTAAGGTAAAGCTCTCCATATACGGCTCAGTCTACTTTTCCACACTCTCCTTCGGTCGTGAGCTCTGGGTAAGGACCAGAAGATTGCACTTACAAGTTTACAACTATCCATCTGTAGCCCTACAACTAGCACTCCAAATGAGATTCCTCCGCCGGGTGTTCCCAGAGAGATATAGCGAGAAGTCTCACAAAGCCTGTTCAGAGTGTGTTCTGGACCGAGAGGAGACCCCAGGGAAGACCCAGGGCACACGGAATGGACCATGTCTCTCAGCTGCCCTGGGAACATTCCCTTGAATGAGCCTGAGGAAGTGTGCATACCGAGGGAAATCTGGGGTTTCTGCTCAGAGTGCTGCTTTCTGTGACACAAATTAAAGTTGTGTGTGTGTGTGTGTTTTCAGGTGGAGGCCGGCAGTGATGCTCCCTCTGAGTCTAAAGTGGACTCTCGGGTCACGTTACCAGCGGAGAACGGCTTGAGCCACACGCCCATCATCTCCCCCAAACCACCCTCACTGGGGGGGCACCAGCCACAGCCCACAGGTACACAGCTGCCCCAGGACTGCCCAGGGCTCGTACACTGAGAATATGTGGACTTTTGATAAAGATCTGATTTGATTTTCATTGTTTAGTGCAATAACAATTTCATTGATTAGTTGCATTGATGAATTGTTTTCTGAACCTTCCATAGACCTAAACATGCTGAGAAGAGATTCTATGACTCGGAAAAGTCTATAATGACTGCAGAAATATTTTCAGACGAATTAAAGTTGAGTACTCAAGCTTTAATAGTTCAGGTTGAATAATCCCTCCCGCAGGAAAATGTGAAAAACCGCATTTTCTTATTCGTTAGCCAGCCCAGTCGTTTAACGAGTGAATTCAAAAGTCCACAGCAGCCAAACTAGACTGGTCCAAATATACTCCCCTCAGCATTGACACACATCTGGAACGTAGCGTTGAGCAGAGCCGACTTTTGGACCAGGCTGTAAAGCCGTTTTCCAGAGGAACAAAGTTCTGTTTCCGGGTACACTCTAAATTACTTAGTTTTATTTTTCAATTTTATTTGGAAGGTGTTGGTGTGAATGCATCTATATGCGGCACTTTGGAAACTGTTTCTAAAATGTGCCATACAAATAAGTTGGACTGAGTGTGTTGTCTGTTGCGTAGCTTGTTGACTTCTGTAGTTTAATGTCTGCTGTTTTAGGCTCCTTGAAGCCTGCGGTGAAGACGGAGGACATCATCCAGAGCGTGCTGACAGGTGCTCTCCCAATACTGCTATAATCAAAGCTGAAAAATGCATTATACAGTAGTTACATTTCTCACTTTTCCCCTTTTCCTCAGAGCTGGAAGCACAGACGCTGGAGGAGTTGAAGCAGCAGAAGACGTTTGTCAGAGAGCAAAGGAAGCAGTACAAAGAGATGAAGGAACTGGTCCGAAAACATCATCGAAAAACCACAGAGCTCATCAAAGAACACACGGCCCGAGTGTCGGAGCTGCAGAGCCAACAGCAGAGGAGGAGGTCTGCGCTGCTCAAGAGCCACAAGAGGGAGGGCAAGAAGAGGTGCGCCAAACACACATAAACGTGTTACAACATTGTTCCTGCATCAAAAACATTCAATATTTTTACAAAGCACTAGAGAAAACCGGACTCTCATAGTCAAATGTGAAATGAATTGAGTTGAGGACGATCGATTGAGGTGTAATAAAAAAGTCCGTTAGGCGTCACTGTATCAAGCTAGTTCTACTCTACTTCTAGTAATTATATAATGTAAAGCAGACAGTGCTGAGACATGGCCAGCGGATGCATTTAAGGGCACAGGGAAAAGCTGTACTTGTTTTAGGGATGTATGTTTTTGGACGTTTAGTATCTAGACGACTCACTCATTTCACTTCAGTTCAGTTTATTTCTTCTTGGTCACCACATCTAAAATAAATATTACGTATTGGTTTACAGAAAGATGCAAATACATGAATGACCAAAGGGGTTTAGGCTGAAGTATGAACTTATTTTGCCTAACCCCTATTTCTGTGACTCTATCACAATGTTACATCCATGGATTGGATACTCACCAATCAGTCACAGATATCACATGGAGAGAAAAAAAGAAAAGCAAGAAAATGACATGAGATGAGGAAAACAATTTATAATATGTATATACTGTACATGCTGGGATGCTGTTAATGCTGATATTTAACTACAGTCAAACCTGGACAAAATTGCACACACAAAAAGACATCGCTCTGGCATTCTTTAATTACTTGGCTGCCTTCCAAGGAGAAGTATTTTGACTGTTGCAAAACAAATCTAACGTGAACTGGCTCTAAGGTCCTTTTTCAGTTGTAAAGACACACCTGATAGAACATATAATAATAATAATAATAATGCATCAGTTTTATACAGCGCTTTTTTGGACACTCAAAGACATTATTCATTCACTACACACACGGTGGTGACAAACTACTACTGTAGCCACAGCTGCCCTGGGGCACCTGACAGAAGCGAGGCAACCAGTATGTGCCCTCCCATCACCACCAACCATTCACACCAGACTCATTCTAGGCAATGGGGATGAAGTGTCTTGCCTAAGGACACAACGGCAGTTTTGCACTTTACAGCTGCAGCCACCCCACTGTGGCCCCAGGTGTTCCCAGAGGTTAAGTGTCTTGCCAAGGACACAACGACAACAAACAGTGGGAGTCGATGGTGAAAGTCTTGAAGTGGGCTCGAACCCACAAACTTCTGGCTCAAAGGCCAATGCTCTACCAACTGAGCTACAGTCGCCCTGAGATGCATATAGAACAGAAACCCAACAGAGAACAAAACACTTTATGTATTAGTTTGTACAAAGCCTGCTTCCTCCTGGTAAATGTATTCCAAACCCCCTTCGCCCAGACTGGCTGGAGCCAAGGTCAATTACAATACAACCATTTAGGAATACAATATATCTTAGCCACATATAACTTATAAAAATGATAACTTAAACAACATTCCAAAGTCAAATTATTATAATTATTCTGTATGTTGGATGGCAATTGTATTTACAAGGTTACAATTCTTAAGCTTTGAATGAATGACGTTATTGCTTTTACTTTTTACCAGTCTAGTTTCTTTTCTTAGCCATCTCAGACAGAAAAGTGAAGTGTGCAGAGTAGACTATGAACGTGACGGTCTCATGCTGTGGTGTTTCCCTGAAGCCGCTCGGAGCAGTCCCTGTCTACACTGGATCAGGAGCTGTCGGAGCTGGACCAGGAGTGCCAGCAGAGACTGAGCGAACTGAAGGAACAACAGCAACAGCAGCTGCTCACTCTGAGACAAGAGCAGTACTACAGCGAGAAGTACCAGAAACGAGAGCATATCAAACAGGTACGCAGCAATACACCAGAGCGAGATGTTTTTATAATGACGATACCATCAAGACTGGGTTTCTTAGAGCAGGCCGAGATACACGGGACTTTTAATTCCATACGATTGAAAACGACATATTTCTAAAGACACTATATAGCTTGTGGCCCTTAACTAAAGCACCACAGAACAAAACAGCACAAATAATTACGTTATATTTAATTAATTGAAGTTATAATTGGTTCTCCCTGTAAGAAAATGTGTCCTCTGCATTTATCAATCCTTTAGTGCCATCAGGGCCTCTGTTCAGTGGGGTCAGGAATACCGGAGCTGGAGGATTTTACATATTATATAAGTTTATAGTGGTAGAAACGGGAGCAGCCAAAGAAAACCTATGCAGACACAGGGAGAACATGTAAACTCCTTAGGAAGGCCTTGTTCCAACCAGGATTCGAACCCAGGATTTGAGCTAAACACCAATTGAAGATGAGTTGATTTCAAAGTCAGACTTTTGAGACAAATGTGAACAAATAGATAGATGTATAATCATTTAAGTGTATCTTTTTTTTTTATTTTTTTTTTAGCTAACCCCTAACTACCACTCTGTTGGAACTGAGAACAACATTTACTTTCTGATGTCACTGCAGTCGGCATATATTAAAATGATATTTGTCTGCGGGTCACAGCACAGAAGCCTATTGCCAGAAGCCAGTTTGTCTTTGGTTTGGGGTAAACTAAAACTTAAACGCTATAGCTTATGTAGTAGACTTGATTTTTTTTTGGCCGTGTGTGAAAGACGGAGAAAAACAGATGTTGGCAAAAGTTTTACTGACAGAGCCGCATCTTTTCAAAGCTTGCTCCCTTCGCACTTGATCGACGGGAAAATGATTTCATCTACAAAGAGAACATTGCTGAGTCTCAAAATCAGTGAAGCAAAATATCTCTGGTGTCTTGTTTACCTTCATCCGTGAAGCTGTGCCAGCAAAAACAATCATTATGTATGCTTGAATTCATCTTCACAACATGGCAACCAGACTTGAGGTTCCCTACTTCAATTCAGACACATGGAACCATTGGGCCATAAGGGGCAGAGACCAATGTCCGTAAATGTTGTTGAGTGTCCTGGATCATCACCACTGTCCTTTTAGTTAGACCTTGGAGAGGGTGGTAGATCCAGGACTACTTTACTATGTTCATAACTCATTTGTTGTTTGCTTTTTCAGCTGGTGGAGAAGCTGAACACCATCGCGGAGGAATGTCAGAGCGCACAACTCAAGAAGATCCGAGACCTGTGTGAAAAGTGAGCAGTGTACAGCAACCCAGAGTTTTCACAGATGTTGATTGACAGTTTTAGAATAGTCCTGATTTGCCAGAGTTGGCAAGCAATTTTTTTGCTCAAAGGAGAAAATAATTGCTGATTGCTTACTTGATTTACGGTGGAGCATGTGAGAATGTTTCACTGATCCTTGGAATAACATCTATAATAGCCTCTCCCCTTGGCATTACTATAGCCAGTCAGATTTGCTTGTGGAGAATAGTTAGACAGATAGACAGATAGATAGATAGATAGACAGACTTTCCCGCGACAATACCGGCAGAGAGCTACTACTTTAGGCTGCCCTGGGAAAAATGTGGTGATATATTGGTGTGAACTAGTTTGATATTGGGTACAATCATTATTTATCATCGCATATCTGTTCCTAGTGCACAAAGTAAGTGCATTTACAAGAATATAATGAATAATCCAATCTGAAATAGTTGTATATTATTAATTTTGTTCATTTCTAAATCCTTTGGCGAGCTACCTGGAAGGAGGTGGCGAGCTACTGGTGGCTCCCGAGCTACAGGTTGGAGACCTCTGAGATAGACAGATTGATAGACAGATAGATAGATAGATACACCAGAGGATCTAGGTTCAGACCATTTTCTCTGCTCTAGTTCAAAGTGAAATTCTGAATGCTTATTAGCAGTAAAAATTAACATTTCTTTTGTGGATTTACGCTAGATCTGCTTTGTTTGCACCGTGGATTGTCTTTGCTCTGGTCTTGATCAGTGTAAAATTATGAATACTGAACTGCAGAAACATCTAGAACTAGAAAAAATCAAGAATAATAACGATTTCACAAAAAAGCACAAAACAACTGTTTCAGAGCTACTTAGGACTTGCTGCTGTTTTCAGTCCATTCATAAAATAATGCCTCACGATACAAATTTTATAGTTGATGTTTTTAACAGGTAAGTTTGAAGTATTAATATTAATGTTGTCCCATTTAAAGAGAGAAGAAAGAACTCAAGAAAAAGATGGACAAGAAGAGACAAGAAAAGATCAACGAAGCCAAATCTAAAGACAAAAACGTCACTGAAGAGTAAGTCCATTCCATTTTATTTATAAATCACATTTAACATCAAATACAGTCTCCAGAGTCATTCCCAGAAACAATGCAAGTCAAACAACCTATCAACTGAACAACAGCAGAGACAGGATGGTTGAAATACTCTGTGGTATATGGTCTGTATTTGTTCTATTCACATCCAACAGGAATGCTTACCAGGCCACAAAAAACAGGCTTGCTTTTTATTTTAAGAGTCTAGGATCATAGGTCAGATGGACATATATGGTCAAGGTAACTGTTAGTATTTAACCCACAGCAGTTCGTCGTTCTGGGTCATTGTGTCATGGTTTGGATTTTATTTTTGTATTTTGGTTTTATTTTGATATCAGTTCCCTGTGCCTTGGTTTTAGTTTTACTTCTTGTGTTGTTCCCCTGTCTTGATTGTCTGCCCCGCCCTGATGTGTTTCACCTGTGTCTGTGTCTATATGTACCCTGTGCTTCTCTCCCCTTGTTGCTGGTCCATTGTATTGTCAACCTCCGTCCTGTATTGTCTGTGTCTGTGTCTGTTCCTGGTTATGTGTTCCATGTGCCTCTGGATTTTGAGTTTGTTTTTTCTCCTGCACTTTTGGTTTTTTTCATCATTAAATGGTTTTTATTTTTGGCATTCCTGCAATTTTGAGTCCTCATCCTTCGCAGCACATGACACATTGACGTTGAGCCTGAATCAGAGAGGGGACCCAGGCGATGAGCTCTATGCCTGAATTGAATTAAATGTATCCTGATTAATCCATTAAACTTCTTTTAATCATAACTCAGAGTTCATTCCTTCTCCATCACTATCCATTCGTGCGGGAAACCCAGGCAAGGAGACGCTACAACTACTTATGGCCACCAGGTGTCAGCAGAGGAACAGTAATGTGCTTGACTTGAGACTTGTGTTTTTGTGTTTCCCACAAAGAGAGAAGCTGGAGATCAACAGGTCGTTTGTCAATGAAGTGGTGCAGTACATTAAAAGGGTGAGGTGACATGATCTTCACATTTCACATTATATCATTAAATTGTAACGGTGATGAATCAGTAAAAAAATCCATTCAGTTGTAATCTCTGAAAACAGTTTAATTCTGTAACTGGTTTTCACATGTATGTATGTTAGGTTTATTCTTCTTCTATAGTTATATCAAGAGCTCCTTCTGAAATACAATATGATCAAAAGTGTAAAACCATTATATAGTGCTAATCAATGTTAGGGAACACAATGGGTTACAAAAGGATTAATATAACTTAAAATGTTGCAAATGTTGTCACAAACCATGGAAAATATATCAATTTTATTTTGAATTTATATTTTTTAACTCATTGACTGCCATTGACGTATTTGCTTGTGACCCTCTATTTGACTGGGGATTACAGGACAACAAAAATAGCTAGAAAAAAACTTATTTTTGCTGAGGAAAGTAGACAAACTAGTCTTTTAAAATCTGGTTTCATATTTCACATAGTCTCAGGACTTAATATTCTGTGGGTCTTGAGTATCAGTGAAATCATCAAAAACGGCTGGCATTCACTGAGTAAAGAGCACAACAAAGCAATAGAAAAATATAAAGTGAACGCAAAACAATAAAAGATCGTGTTATTTGTTTATTATAAGTATTTATACCGCATGAATTCAACCCCTTCTCTGCAGTCACAGCAGCGGGTCTTTTGGGGTTTGACTGAAGTTTTTGCCCATCCGTCTTTACAAAAAAACTCAAGCTCTGTCAGATTATAAACAACTATTCTCTGGTCTTTCCAAAGATTTTCACTTAAGTCGAGAAAGTCTTAAAGTGAGTAAGTAGCTTTGTCAGCTTTTAACAAAAGAACGTTTGTTAGTGTTCTATTGTGGCTTCATGTCTGTGGTCGTAAACGTGACCAAATGTGGAGCCGCTGTAAATGTTTTTTTGTTAATTTTCTACAACAGTTCTAAAAGAATGTTGGGAAGAGGGTGCGAGTTTGTGAAAGGGAATTGGGTCAGTTTCTATTTGCTGCTGATCCAGGATTGGTGGCTGACTCCAGGGAGAAACAGAAGAGTGAAGTGATGAGGTGCCGGGTCTGTGACTGGTACGAATGTTTGTTTGGAAGAGGATAGACTGTAAGCAGTGGATGTTTTTAAGTGTTTGGGTTCAAATGTGAGAGCAGATGGAAGCTGTGTGAAAGAGATGGCACATAGGATCACTGAGGGTGAGTAGTGAGAGGAAAGAATATAGATGTAAGGGCGAGGAAGTGGTTGTGTGAGGGGTGGTTCTGCTGACTGAGGTGTATGGTGTGGAGACATGGGGTATGAACTGCTTGAGAAGTATAATAGGTGTGACTAGGATGGATAGAATAATGAATGTCACAGTTTGAGAGAGAGCGGGTGTGTTCAGTGACCCGGTTGGTAGAGCAGATAATGAGTGTGTATTCGCAGAAAGGATGAAGAGAGATGAAGAAAGAGAGTGAGAACTAGTTGCGTGAGTGATAGTAGACTGAGAGGTAGGCCACGGTATGGATGAAGTGATGGCGTGAAGCGATAGGGAAGCAAGGAGGATAGATAGATAGAGTAGATTGATAGATACTTTATTGATCCCCGTAGGCGACATTCAGGTGTCCAGTAGCAGCAAAAATAAAATTGATCATTCTAAAAAGCTAACAATAGTAATAATCAGCAACAGCCCTTCAGGTCACAGCAGCAGAGGTGGAGTGGCCTCTGGGTGGAGCAGGACGGGTCACAGCAGCAGAGGTGGAGTAGCCTCTGGGTGGAGCAGGACGGGTCACAGAAGCAGAGGTGGAGTGGCCTCTGGGTGGAGCAGGACGGGTCACAGAAGCAGAGGTGGAGTGGCCTCTGGGTGGAGCAGGACGGGTCACAAGGTGGATCAGCCGTTTGGTTCTGACCGTTTTCTCTGCTCTTGTCCAAAGTAAAATGCTAAATGCTTCATTAGCATTTTTCTAAAAGTTAGCATTCCTCCAGTGGATTTTTGCCTGATCCGCTTGGTTTGGACCATGAATCCTCTCTGCTCCAGTCTGGACCAGTGCAAAACCATAAACACTGTACTGCAGCAACATCTCAGGTAGAAAAAAGCAAGAAAAAGAACAATTGTAAAGCACAAAACAACAACTGCTTCGGAGCTACTTAAAACCATTTCCAGCGCATTCAAAAGTAAACGCTCAGAGGGAATCATGGAGAGGGATTTGTGAATGCATGAAATGACACGACCTCGGCACAGTCTGAGAGCCCTCATCGTAGTCATCTGCGGTGCATAAATAAACGATTTGAATGATAAGAGGGTTCAAAGCAAGTGTATGTTCAGATGAATTATTGATTTCTTTCTGATGTGCGCAGCTGGAAGACGCACAGAGTAAGAGACACGAGAGACTTCTGGAGAAGCAGAAGGACATCCGACAGCAGATACTGGACGAGCGGCCGAAGGTACAGTCATAGTCCAGTCACAGTCCAGTCACGGCTCCGTTTGTTCATTCAAAGGACAAATGATGGTATATAATATTTTTGACACAGTTATATCAGAAATATCTGGCACATATCTGTCCCCATCCCATCCGTCCAAATGCTCATGATTCAAACTATACACTATTTGATATAATAATACATCTGTGTTTGTATGGCACTTTTCAAAAACAATGTTTACAAAGTGCCGCACAGTCATCATAATGAACAATACAACAGTCATGATAATACAAAGTCAAAATAATTAGAAAGAGTAGTGGATACAGGAAGACAAAGCAGACAGAGCAACACAAGAAGACGGAGTGGCCAAATATAGCAATCAAACCAATATTTTATAGACTGTTGCTTACACCCGGGGTTCCCAAAGTTTTTAGCCAGTGACCCCCCCAATGATAAATACACTGATTTTCATTGACGCTGTTGTAATCCCGTAATGTTTGGAACAAAATTACAAATGGAATTAAAGTGTATTACAATGTTATACAATGTTTTTGTTCCACTGGGGGGCAGTCTCAGCCAACATTGTGTAACCATAGACTGTAAATATTAAACAGCAGCTCTATGAACTCCACTCCACTCCAGTCCTTTCCTAAACTTTTTTCAGTGTCTCACCAAACAAATTAGTTCATGAGCTTATTTTAATGTGTCAATGTCATATGTTCTATTGACGGTCACACAGGAGGATTTTGCACCTGAGGAACTGGGTAAGACCTCTCCGCATCATCAGACAAACATAACACAAGCTCACACAACTTCCAGAGCAGTCAAATTGATGGCTTTTGAGAGTGCCCTTTTTCGGTGTCTATATGTAGTTTGTTTCTATGTCATTTTGACTGCTCCATTCTTCTGATTGTACATTTCAAATTTAACTATTTTCGTTCCCTGGGCAACTCACATTCAATGACAGCTAAAGCCCTTTTCGCCAAGGTGCAGATTATGAACTATGATTATGATTATGAGGCTTGATTTTCCTCCAGAACTGAGCAGATGCTTGTTACCATAGCAACACACGTGCACCCGTTAGCATTTAGCCTGTGTTTTTGCTGTATTTCACAATATATTAACCAGTTTTAGGGATTATTAAAAGTGAGTTAAACACTTTACAAATTAAAACTTTACAAAATCAAATTCTGTTGATTTGAATGGAAGCTATCAAAATGACTGCTCAGGGACTTCTAGTAGTTTGTAAATTCTGTGAGTTCTAACACTGTGCATAAAAAGTGTTTACATAAGAAATAACAGTAGATATTATTATTAATCTACATGTCCATGGTTTGCTTGTTCTACCTGTTTTCTGTTGCTAAACATTGTGCCAGAATGATAAGAAAAATGTCTTTGTAAAGTGCAAGGAAAGACTTAAAAATACACTTTGTATTTTTTTTGGGGAAAAAAAAGAAAACAGAAATATACACTATTTGAAGTCTATGAATCACTAAAAAGTGTCTCCTCCATGTTATCACTACACACATGTAAATACTTTTTTTAATGCTGCGGCCCCTAACTTTCAAACCACAATAACATGAATAATATCCCTCTATCTAGATCCTATCAAAACATTCATATGTTGTAGTTAGCCATGCTTCTATTTTCATTAGCTCACAGTGTTTACCAATGCTTCTAAGTTAAGGAATTCATTGCGCTTAACCATGTATCCGTTTGATGATAAGTTTGTTGAGGTTAGCAATGCTTCTAAGATCATTAGTAGTTCCTTGTCTAAGTTCTTTAGTCGATTTTGGTGCATTCATGTACTGTGTTTGCCATGCTTCTAAGTTTATTACTTAACCCTTCAGTGTTCGCTTTTTTATTTTTTTATTCTAGGCCTTTTTAGCAAATGGTTGAGGTGCAGTTAGATGCTGAAAGTGATGGAGATGTCCCAATGAGGTAGATTTCAGTTTCAAGCTTCAAGTAGTGACTCAAAAAGTGATCCTCCAAATAGTTAAGGAAACAATTCAAGGGTTAAACAAGTGTCCATGGAGTTATTTGGGGTGCCATGCGTTTTTAAATAAAATTTCAAATATTTACATGTTTTACTTTTGCCTTAAAGCAGCAGTATGCAACTTTTGATGTAACCTATATTTGACCTTGTAGTGACCCAGTGGCTTTGTAAGAAAACCTTACAAATAACATAGATCCGAGAGCATCCTAGAGACCACTGTGATGGAAAGTAAAGGCGCCATACTGACCCCCCTGAGAGCTGCCAAGTTCTTACACAATCAATTATAGATCACATCAAAAGTAGAAGGATGCCACTTATTACTTAGAGTTTTAGCCGTAGATTTGTAAGTAATCTTTATTTATTTATATAATGCATTTTTACAGACAAGGTCACCCAAAGCGCTTTACAATGTTCAGTATTTAGATATCTAAACTTTGACTCCACTAAAACAAGTACTTTTGCCACCTCTGTTAAAGGCATAGACTGTAAATATTCAGACATAGTCACACCTACCTCCGCCGTTGATACTAATGTGCCACCTCTTTTGGGGCTTTATCAAAATGGGGCAGGAAAATGAGAAAAAACTGATTTGCAAATGCATTAGCCGGCACTAGCCCCATTCATTTAACGAGTGCATTGTAAAGTCCACAGTGGCACACGTAGAATGGTCTAAAAAAATATTCTAGCATCTGGAGAGCCGACCTTTGGAGCCGGGACCCGCTCCCACTTGTTAAAAGTTAAGCCACATTTGGGAAAAAAATCTATTGGTTTACTGGTTATGCACAACGCCCAAACACTTTGTGGTTTGATATCACAAAAAGCTGCCTTTGCCTTTCTTCCTTTTCTCCATCTTGAACACAGGCGTCATAGTGAATATCTAGGGGATATGGAAGAGAAAGGGACAGAAGGCGCCCCGTTCCCCCAGGCTCAGGTGTGACTTTATCAGTGCCTGTTGATAATGATCCCATCAGAGAAGCCTGCAGGAGACATCTGTACCCAGCACCGTGCCAGAGCCAATATCCGCTTTCCAAAACACTTCATGTACTGTACACCACAAGGTCACATCCACAAAGCAGTGCGCGACATTAGATTACATTTTTGGGCATGGAAATGTTGTTTACGGCCTAAGTGTTGTCATGATAACGATTGATAGCACTGTCATTAAACACGCTTTGAAGGTAGAAGGAAATGTTGACGATATTTGGATACATGGATTTTGTTCTGTTTGTTCAAATGTATCGGATATTGCTGCTAATTAGTAAAAAAGCCTACACCTTCGCTTAAAGGACAAATTTAGCAAAACAAGTGACCTTTTTTCAGCCGTGAAAGGAGACATTGCCAAGTGTCAAAAAAGAATAACCCAAAATGCAGGACTATTAAGAATAAGACATTTTGTAATAATACAACTCCATAATCCAGAGTGAAAATACACCTACACAAAACCAAAAGAGACCAGGATCGAATCCCGGTCGAAACAGGGCCTTTCTGAGTGGAGTTTGCATGTTCTCCCCGTGTCTCCGTAGTTTTCCTGTGGGTGCTCCGGTTTCCCCTACCACTAAAAACATGCACAATAGGTATGAATGTAAATGAGAGAGTGAATGGATGGTGTTGATTGAGGGCTGATGGTCCAGTGTGTTCGGCGACTCGCTTCTGTCATCACCGAGTGTGGAATGATTGGAACAATATCTGAACTCTGAACATTGTAAAGCGCTTTGGGTGACCTTGGTCTGTAAAATGCACTATATAAATAAACATTACTTACTTACTTACTTACACCGGACTAACGACACATGAGGGTAGGGAAGGTCAGCACACAGCAGGAAGAACAACCAAGGAATAGGCACAAAATAAAAATAGGAAATAACCCTGAACCAAGCCCCGGCGAGCCAAAATGTCTGCTTGTTGAAATCAATGGCTTGTACTGATTGGTGTATGGTCTCATCATGGAGGCCGGTCTTGCACAGTATGGTGTGCAGTTTGTTCTCTCTGCGCCACACATGCTGTAAGTGTTTAGAAGGAGACCGGCGAACCAGATATGTGCGAACCAACAATTGACAACGAACAAAAACAAGCCAAGTTTGTTGCAAAAATATGTGGCTTTATAGAAATCCAAGGAATTTCAAAAGAAGAAAAGTTCAGACAAGGGACTCTAAAATTCCCACTAAACCCAACCTTTTATAACAGCTGAGGATGAACTGTTCACTATGTATTTTATTCTAAGATATTATTTCATATTCTAAAACATGAAATGACAAAGTAAATCTGTAGTTTAATGCTCTGTATGATCCTGGTGTTCATATTTTGATCACACTGCCTTGCCTCATCATTGGCTTTTTTGTTGCAAGGAAGTCGCAATTTAGAGAAGAATTTAGCTCCAAATTTGCACCTATAGAGTTAGAGTTCGCCCAAATCAACTTCATCAGGGAAAAGGCAAATGTTATGGGTCAGATCTGCACTCAGTTAGTCCACTCCTTTCTGCAGTCTATGGCTTTTAACCATCTGAGTAAGTGCTATTCATACAGCGCATCGCACAGGAAAAGATCACACAAAGAGCTGTACAATTCAGAATTTGTAGCAACGTTGAAAGTCTGAAAATTTCAGTCTGGTGACACCACTACAGGCGCTCTGGCCTCATCACACTGAATTTTTATGATGTGAGGAATGCATGAATTATGTGCCGTACACTGAACTGATATATTAGAATGCTAGTATTTTTTATATCCTAATTTACAGACTTACTAACCACTTATATAGAGTATAAAGAAGGGTTTGACAGACATGCTGAACTCGCTCTGCCCCATGTAGCGCCTGGTTTGGCTGCGAAGGAGGCATGAAAATCTGCCCAGCAATATGTTCTCCATCTACCGACACACCACACGCCTATACACGTGTCAATGTGAGGCTTATTGAGGAAAATCTGCTGCGTTCAATTCAAAAACAGAGAAACAGACATTAAAATTCAAATCTCCAAAAAAAAGTCCTCCCTCAGTCACCTGTCTGTCAGCCAGGCGCCTTTTCCAAGTCAGATGAGAATAGCTCA